CCCCAAGCCCCAAACCCCTAAACCCCCAAACCCCTAAACCCCCGAAACCCTAAAACCCTAAACCCTAAACCCCCAAACCCCTAAACCCCTAAACCCCTAAACCCCTAAAACCCCCAAACCCCCTAAACCCCTAAACCCTAAAACTCTAAAACCCTAAACCCTAAACCCTAAAACCCTATAGTACCCTTTAAAGGAAGCCTAGGATCCGTATAGTACCCTTCAAAGGAACCCCTAAAACCCTAAAGCCCTAAACCCGAAAGCCCTATAGTACCCTTTAAGGGAAGCCTAGGATCCCTATAGTACCCTTTAGAGGAACCCCCAAAACCCTAAAACCCTAAAGCCCGAAAATTCCCTATAGTACCCTTTAAGGGAAGCCTAGGATCCCTATAGTAGGCCCTATAGTACCCTTCAAAGGAACCCCTAAAACCCTAAAACCCCGAAGCTTTCCCTGGCCTTTCCGCGCTGCAGCAGGCGGTGAGTCTCGGCCTCCAGCTCGGCGTGCGCTTTGAGGACCTCCGGTTGTAGGGGGGTTTCAAGGGTTCCTTTAAAGGGTACTATAGGGATCCTAGGCTTCCTTTAAAGGGTACTGTAGGGAATTTTCGCGGTTTTAGGGTTTAGGGCTTTAGGGTTTTAAAAGGTTCCTTTGAAGGGTACTATAGGGATCCTAGGCTTCCTTTGAAGGGTACTATAGAGGGTTTGGGGGTTAGGGAATTCGGTTTTGGGGTTCAGGGTTCAGGGATTAGGGACTTAGAGTTTGGGGACTTTTGGGGCCTGATACGTAGTAAGGTTTGAGGACCTCCGCGGCGGGGGATGGCGGGTTTAATGTAGGGGCCTTAATGGGGTTTAGGGGTTTAGGGTTTAGGGTTTTAGGGTTTGGGGGTTTAGGGTTTAGGGTTTTAGGGCTTCGGGGGTTTAGGGGTTTGAGGCTTAGGGTTTTAGGGTTTAGGGGTTTGGGGCTTAGGGTTTTAGGGTTTAGGGTTTTGAGTTATAAGAACCCAAACAGTTTAAAGGTTGGGTATTGGAGAACTGAGGGCTCCAATATTTCGGTTCTGGGCGTTCGGCTTCCCGAATCGAGTTTTCCGAAAGGGTCCAGGATACAACTCGGGCGATGCTCCGGGGCTTGAGGGGTTTAGGGTGTAGGGTTTAGGGTATTTAGGGTTTAGGGTTTAAGGCTTTAAGGTTTAGGGTTTATAGGGATTTCAGAAATCCTGCATATCCGAAACCACAAGATATGAGTGGAACAACAAACGCATCATTATCTCTAGAGCCAAGGATCGTATGCCCGTACTGTCCTTCACGACCTGTGATCAGTTTCGAAGCCCTCAAGGCCGCAAACAATCCGGCTACATCCAAGATCATCTAAGACCTAACTAAGTAACTAAGGCTGACTAATATACAATTTCCAAGCCTATGCCGCCGAGCAGCTCGTAAACTAAAAAACAGCGCTCAGGCCTTAGTCCTGCAGCAGGCAACCTTTCACCCTTGACAGTAAGCCCGAAGCCCGATCCACCATACATGGTTTAAACCCTGGTAGATCCTGGTCAAGGTTCTTCTATTGTGCACTTGCAGGTTCATGGGTAGTTATAAGTAGGGTTAGAAGTCTCCTAATGTGGGTTATAACTGTAGTTACCCTACTTATAACTCCACTTATAACTCCCCATGAACCTCCAAGTAAGAAACGCATGAAGCCTTGCTGACACCCATCAACACCCACTTCAACCCGGACCTGCACCACCCCGATCCGGTACCCAAACTCTAATAAGCCGTGAACCGTAAACCCCTAGACCCTAAAACCCTAAACCTCTAACCCCTAAACCCCAAACCCCTAAACCCCTAAACCCTAAAGCCACTTTCTGACTCCTTTCCGCCTCGTCCAGCTCTGGCGTGAGCTCGGCGGCCAGAGCCCGGGCCTCTTCCCGCCAGGTCTGCCTGAGGCTGTGCCGAGGAGTCTATGGCGGTTTAGGGGTTTTTACAGCACCTGTTCCTCCTGCTGTCAGCCACGGTTTAGGGTTTAGGGCCTAGGGTTTAGGGTTCGGTTTTAGGGTTTAGGGTTTAGGATTTCGGGTTTAGGGTTTAGGATTTAGGGCCTAGGATTTAGGGTTTAGGGTTTAGGATTTTGGGCTTAGGGTTTAGGGTTTAGGGTTCAGGGTTTTTAGGGAACCCTGGCAGGTCAAACATGGTTTAGGGATTGAGTATTTGTTGGAGTTTACGTTGACCTGTCTGCTCTGGTTCAGCTTTTGAGGTTTAACCCTAAACCCTAAACCCTAAAACCCTAAACCCTAAACTCTAAAACCCTAAACCGTAAACCCTAAACCCTAAAACCCTAAACCTAAACCCTAAACCCTAAAACCCTAAACCCTAAACCCTACTCGCTACATACCGTTTTCGGGGTTTAGGACTTGAGGTCGACCCGGCTGTTCTTGGAGGTCCTTTTCAAGTTCTGGTGTAGGGGTTTAGGGTTTAGGGTTTGGGGTTTGGGGTTTTAGGGTTTAGGGTTTTGCTCCTTCTCCAGAATCTACGATGCCACGACTTAGAACCGGCATGGACTATAACGGCAATCCGGGTCCAGGGTTTAAGATTTTCGGGCTTGGCATGTTGTGGGGCTCCACAGGGATCTGTAAGACTTTCATCAACGAAGGCTTTCATCTATACTTAATAGCTGTTTTCCGCGTGGCTGGCCATAGAAGCATTGGCCTACGAAGTTGAAACACAAACCTTAGAGAGAGTCTAACATGGGGGCTTGAGAGCATGGATGTCCATAGAAGCATCGGCCTACGAAGTTGCAGACGCAACGCCCTCAGTTCAACTTGGGACTAAACCTTGAACCCGGAATCCTCGAAGTGCCCTTCTAACACCTAGAGCCCTACACCCTGCACCCTGAAACCGAAGCCCCGCACGATAAGCCCGTGAGACCGATATACCCTAAACCGGTAGCGGCCAAGCAGCTGCTGGTCCTCCTCCTCGTGGCGGATCTGGGTCTCCAGCTCCTTCTCAAAGGCTCCGGGGCTCCACATGGTCGAGGCGTTTGGATTAAGGTTTAGGGGTTTAGGGTTTAGGGTTTAGGGTTTAGGGTTTTAGGGTTTAGGGTTTAGGGTTTAGGGTTTAGGGTTTAGGGTTTAGGGGATTTCGGGTTTAGCGTTAGGACGACCCTTCGAACCACAGCGGCATTGAGCGAAGTTGACCCAGAATACATTGAGTAAGGCTTCAACCTGCTTCACAGACTCAAACTGCCATGACGCAGAGGTCCGCATGTGCCGTCATCGAAACTCTCCGCACGGATTCTGCTGCGCAGAGGTGGCTTGCAGTTGCTCTCATGGGTGTGTCAAGCAGTCACATCTGTGCAAATCGCTGTGTCGACAGAAAAGAGAGAGAGTGTGTATGTATGTATGTATGTA